TAGATAGATAGATAGATAGATAGATAGATAGATAGATAGATAGATAGGATAGGATAGGATAGGATAGGATAGACAGGCAGGCAGGCAGGCAGGCAGGCAGGTCCTTAACATACTAACCTTATGCAAGCAATATCCATAGTAACTATGACCAGAAAGTATTACAAAGACATATTTCAACCTATTTTAGGATACGCTCATAGATGTATTCCTCGAGTTAGCAATTTTTATTGTAAGCTGCTCAGAATCAATTTATTATTGCAACTCAGCCTTGACCCACAGCATAGATTTTGATGTCTCTGACTGATATAAATATATGAAAAATAAATACAATTTGGTTTTTTTTATAAAATGCTATGGATGTATGTCACCCTTTCCCGCTTTAGCTACTGCAGAAAACAAAATGGACAGCTTTTTCTTTTTAAATAGCATGCAGGTAATTCTTCCTTTATGACCAGTCACTGGGTGACCATTCAGAAATACAATGGATCCCTCCCCCCAAAAGGTATTTATGACCTGAAATTCAATAGCCAGTCCTCCCCAGTTACATGACTGCATTTCAGGTGTTTAGCAACCAACCCCCATTTATATTTACTTCCAGTTTTCAGAAAAACTGGCCCATAGCAAACCATCAGTTTGCTTAATGACCATGGCATTCACTTAATGACTGTTGCAAAGAAGGTCATAAAATTGGGTTGATAAAGTAACTGATCTGCTTTACAACTGTCATGACTTATGAACCTGATGGGCAGGCTCCATTAGGGTTGTTATTGCAGAACTACCTTTCTCTTCTTACAAATTTCCCACTAATACTCCCTAGTATACACTATACAGTGAATATCTCTTCCTGGAGGTCAGCTTGACCTCTTCTTCTTTGCTTTAGTCTTCTTCTGGTTATGAGCCTCAGCAAGCTGCAGCACCCAGGATCAAGAAGCAGAAGGTCACGAGTAGAAAGATCCACTTGTTTTTAATTCCTGCAAATATATGCCAATTTATGCAAATACAGGAAGTCCTTGACTTAGGGCCACAACTAAGCCAAAATGACTATTGCTAAGTGAGACAATTAAGTGACTTTGCCCCATTTTACAACTTTTCCTGTCAAGTTTGTTAAGGGAATTACTGCAGTTGTTAAAGCAGTAACATAGTTGTTAAATGAATCTGGCTTCCCCCATTGACTTTGCTTGTCAGAAGGTCGCAAAGGGGGAATCACATGACCCTGGGACACTGTAACCTGTCAGAAAAAAAATGAGTCAGTTGCCAAGCACCTCATTTTTAATCATGTGACCCCGGGAATGCTGCAACAGTCATAAATATGAAAAACAGTCGTAAGTCATTTTTTTCAGTGCCGCTGTAACTTTGAAGGTCACTAAATGGATGGTTGTAAGTCAGGGACTGTATCATACTTGATCACCTATTCCTGAAACAGGAACTGTAGCCATCTTGTTTCCTTGGCAAAATTGTCAATGACGTTGTCAATTGTATTATTGTATTGTATTGCATTGCATTGCATTTCTAATTCTGTTCTAACCTAGTCTATTCTATTTCTATTTCTGTTCCTATTTCGATTCTATTTCTATTATTCTACTCTACTGTACTCTACTCTGCTCTATTCTACTCTACACTCCTCTACTATATACTCTATTCTGTCCTTATTCTCAGAATTCTTCTTTCTGTGATCAGTTTATTGGAGCCTGATAATTATTCCTGTATCTTTGTCAATCTCGACCACGTTTTCACCTTCTCACTGTATTGACTAACCTCCTCACTGTGCAAGTTAGTAATGTTGGCATGATAAGAACTGAAGATGCAACCAAAGGGAGTATTGCCGTGTATTTCAAGAAACCCAGAAATCAATTTTCAAGCTTAAGAAAGCCACCTTTCTCTTTCTTTGACCACTTTTCATATTGGATGGCTGCTTCTGCCTGCAGATTGTCAACATTATAGATGACATTGATTGCTGCTTGCGATTCCTCACTCCCTTCCCCAAAGATTGCAGGGATTCCCTGCCTGAACACCCCCAACCCCACAGATACACACACATTTTCCTGCTCCCGATTCCCACGCTTTGCAAGGTGCTGGTAAATTCTTCCCGTGCAGGATTTCCCTTCTATTGCTCTTGGCCTTCATTGCTGCGCAACAGAGGCACCAATTGTTATTTCAGTCTCCGCTGTTTTCCTCCACTTCCTTTTTCCTCAGCCAGGCTCTGGAGAAATATTCTCCCACCACCACAATCCTGCTGCTGCTGCTACTGCTGTTTAGGAAATCAAAAGCTTTCTCCCCTCTCCCTTCTGTGGCCGTATTCACCCAACATGCTGATGCTTTATCCTAACCGGTTTATGGGAGAATGTTGCATAAGGCCTTGAGTTGTAAGCTATCCCAGTGGATTGGGTTCACATAAGACACTAAGTTCCCAGACACTTGCCTCCAGATTTCCTTAACAAACTCTGAAGCAGTGGTGTTTTTTTTTTTAACTTTGGTACCTTTAAGATGGATGGACTTCAACTGGCTGGGGAATTCTGGGAGTTGAAGTCCAGTCCACCTATCTTAAAGGTGCCAAGGTTAAAAAACACTGCTTTAGAATGTTATGCAAATTCGCTGCTGCATCTTTAATGGACTTGCTTCCGCGGGTTGTGTGAACACAACCTTTGTGAGGTGAGCCACTTGTGTTAACTCTTTCAGCCAGGAGGAAGATGATGTCACATTTATCTATTCCAGGGGTCCCCAAACTTGGCAACTTTAAGACTTGTGGACTTCAACTCCCAGAATTCTCCAGCCAGCTATGCCAAGTTTGGAGACCTCTGAGCTATTCCTTCTTTCCACCTGCCCAATCAGCTGTGACTTTTTAAAGAAAAAAAATCCAGAATATTCAACAACAACTGCTAGTCCAAGGCCTTTCTCCTCCTCTTCCTGGACTCGTTTCCTCTAACTCCTCCCTCTCTGTTAACTCATCCAAGGGTTATTATAATAAACTTTCCCCTTCTTTTTGCTCTTCATAACGGTCTCAGAGTGCCCTGAATTCCAGAAGTGTTTGTTATATTCCCGTCCTGCATCTAAGCTCGGCTGCAGTTTCTCTTGTGGAGCAGAGCTGTTACCAAGAAAATTAAGCCAAAAACTCCTAATGAGGACTTTTAAGTCAGGAAAATCCCTTTGATTTGTTGGTGAGTAAGACTGTCTTCAAATTTGTTAAATATCCCTAAACTTGAAAGCCCTGGAGGTGGTGCTTTGATTTAAAGAATAATAGTAAACCTGATTTTCACAGTTGCTTCAATCTGCTTCAAAGTTATTCCCTCTTGGCACCACAGCCCTCATTCCATTTTAAGATTTAACGTAAAGATTTATGGTGTTTTTCTAATGTTTGACTTTCTCTACCAGACTGTCATACTGTATGTAGGAGATCCAAGGCATTCTGCCATCCTTTTCTGATTGCCTACAGCAAGCCTAGCTGTATAACTTTCTCAAGACTCAGTCAGAGTAGAGCTGGAAGGAGGTCTTCCAGTCCAACCCCATTTTAGACAAGTGGCTATCCAGTCTCTTTTTAGAAGCCTCCAGTGATGGAGCACCCACAGTTTCTGGTGGCGAGCTGTTCCATTGGTTAATGGTCCTCACTGTTCAGAAGTTTCTCCTTAATTCCAGGTTGCTTCTCTCCTTGATTTACTGTAGTTTCCATCCATTGTTTCTTGTCTTACCTTCTGATGCTTTGGAGAATAAGTTGGCCCCTCTTCTTTGTGGCAGCCCCTCAAATATTGGATACTGCTATCATTTCACCCCTAGTTCTTCTTTTCTCTAGACTAGCCACACCTAATTCCTGCAAACTTTCTTCATATGTTTTAGTCTCTAGACCAGGGGTTCCCAACCTGGGGTGCTCACACCCCCTGGGGGTGCGAGACGATATTCCAGGGGGTGCGAGAAAAGTCCAGGTAAATAATAGGATATTGGCTATACATTGGCATTTTTATTTATTATGCAATGGATTAACTTTGTTTTCATTTTAGAGTTAAGTATCGTTATTTAGTGGCCGTCACATACATAGCTGAAAAGATTCAATCCTACCATATATTTAACGCGTTCAGTAGTTCCTAAAGTCTAAATTTCAGGGGGTGCGAGGTTCGAGTGAAATTTCTTTAGGGGTGCGGGGCGAAAAAAAGGTTGGGAACCACTACTCTAGACCTTTAATCATTTTAGGTGATTTTCTCTGCACTTTTCCCAAAGTCTCAACATCTCAGCATACTCCATGTCTTGTTGGATCTTTAAAATGAAGTTACTAGTCCTCATTGACCTTATGAAAGAAGAGCTATTGCTCATGCTTGGAGGAATTATCTAAGATCAAACATGACCAAGCATGGACTTCCTGATTTTTCCCAGTACAAGCACAGTTAGGATCATCAAAACCTGACAAATCAATTCAGGATGCCAACAATTCCAACTGTCCCCTCTGCCTTCTGGTTGTGCAGATGTGTAGACAGCCAATAGCTATTTTATCACCTTGTGAGGAAAAGCTTGTCTACAGGACAACCTTCTCTAAAAGGAACCAGGATACAGTTTTTTATTGTTTATCCCTATTTTTACCAAAGCAATTGGCAACCTCAGGCATTAACTCTTAATAAGCCTTGGGCAGCTGCTGGGGCTAGAGAATAAAATTATCATAGTCACAGTCGTGTAGGCACTCTTGGGTAAATTTAACCACTTAGTGCTTCTTTTCTTTAGTTCTACGCCTTCCTGAGACAGGAGGAGTCTGGTAGCATCTTTTCCAAACAAGACGTTTTATTAAAAGGCATAAAATACCAGATTTTTTTTAATACTATTCCCTAGATTATCATGGCTCTCTTCCTTTCTGAGTGTGAGATTTTAAAAGCTAATCCTTTAAATGCCAATGCAGCAATGTTTGGGCTTCTGTATTTTTTTTTAAAAAAAACAGGGCATATAGACAGGGATGTAGCAAAGCATGAAGGCAAAGTACAGTACAGTGAAATATTTCTTGCAAGGGATAGACCAGAATAGCAGAATTGGAAGGGACCTTGGAGGTCTTTTAGTCCAAATCCCTGTTCAAGCAGAAGACCCTATACCATTCGGGAATATGGTTGTCCAGTCTCTTCTTTAAAAATCTCTAGTGATGGAGCAACATCTGGAGGCAAGTCGTTCCACTGATTAATTGTTCTAACTGTCAGGAAATTCCTCCTTAGTTCTAGGTTGCTTCTCTCCTTGATTATTTTCCATCTGTTGTTTCTTGTCCTGTCTTCAAATGCTTTGGAGAATAGCTTGACTCCCTCTTCTTTGTGGCAGCCCCTGAGATATTGGAACACTGCTATCATGTCACCCCTAGTCCTTCTTTTCATTAAACTAGACACACCCAATTCCAGCAACTGTTTTTTATAGGGAAGAACAAGGCATTTGGTTTTATGACTACATACTTAAAACCTCACACTTCCATCTTCTCCCATCTGTCGAACTGCTGGGTTTTCAAATGTCAAACTATATATATTTAAGCCAGGTAACGTGCAACTTTATTTGAAAGGAGACTTTTACAATCATTGATTGCTTTAAAATCATTTTTTTTTTTTATTCCTGATCATGCACAGATGCACGTTATTTTTAACTCCACAGTTAATGCTACTTCTAATTTCAGATGGGCAGTTTTGTTTGATTATTCTAGGCAAAAATGACAGTGTTGCAGCACCTAAATGTTTCTCTTATTGTAAGCGAACTGTAAACGCAACCATTTCTGAAAAAGAAAGATATTTATAGAACTCTTCCGGAAGAAGAGCAAAAGAACAGCTTTTGGTTTCCAGAATTTCCTTTTGAAATGTAAGCCATTTTGCGCTCTGTACTGTTTTCTTCAGAAGATTTAATTCGCCTATATTAAGTTGAAGCTGACAAAGTTAGAGGTCATGATAGAATTTGTACTCAGACTGCCTGAGACCCATACATGGAATTTTGCCTTAATCTGTGTTTCCTCCTGGCACAGCTCTCAAAAGTCAGCATTTACTGGATGCTCTATGCCTAAAGATGATCTAGTGAAGGGGCATATTAAGTTTTGGGTGGGAATTAGTACCTACCTGGAATTTTGGAACCTGGTTCTGAATTCACAGCTGGAGTTCTACAACCTGTGTTGATGGGTGTGGTTATTCTCTAGCTATTCACCAGCTTTACTCACTTCAGAGGACCCTGTAGCTTCTTTGCCACTCTTCCCTCTCTCTGTCCCTCCCTCCGTCCCTCCCTCTCTCTCCCCTCCCCTCTCCTTAAGCATTCTTCCAAAGAAAGCAATGGATCTCAGCCCCTACTTTTTTTTAATCTTCCAAGAATATCCAGGAGACCACATAAGATTGGTGATATTCTTGTAAACTAACGTTTTGCTGAATTCTAGGGTTTCTCTCCCCACTCTCTCTCTCCCTCCTTCCCTCTCCCCCCCCTCTCTGTATTCAATCAATGAATGGGATTAATAGTCAAGAAACAGAAGACAGCAGCGGTGATAGATGTAGAAGTGCCAAGCAACATGAACATCAGGAAGAAAGGAGTGTGAGAAGCCGAAGGAGGATCCAGGTTTGAAGGATGTACTAGAAACGATGTGGAAAGTTAAGGCCAAAGAGGTCCCAATGTTGAAAGGAGCACTTGGGGCTGTCACTCGTAAGCTGGGAATCCAACAGATTCCAGGAATGATGTCAG